CATACAGGCAGCTCTATCATTCAGCAGTAGGCTTTCACTTGATCTCCCTATTTCCAGCCCAGTGCCTCACCCCACTTCCTACTACACCTGGGGTTCCCCAAGTGTGGAGCCTCTCTGGTTCATTGTTCTCTATGAAATACCTTCTGTCTCTTCCAGGGTAGAAGAGAGAGTGGAGGCCCTTTATACAGACATTCAATCAATCTCTGTTTTTCAGCGCTGTCCTACATCTCCACTTTCCACAGTGCCCGGCGACCTCATTTTGGGGCTCTTCTGGGGCTTTGGGGGCCATGAATAAGGCTTTCTTGCTTCCCACTGATATACTTCCCCCAAAGCATTTAGGTCCTTTGACTTCCTCCTCTTATGACTCTTTTATCTGCTTTTCATATTTATATATTGTGGTTCAAATTACAGAAGTCTTCTAATTTCAAAGACTACATTTTTGTCTCTTATTCTCATTGTTTTGGGTGATAATTTCCCAGAGGAGAAGAGGACAAAAACAGTTTTATATTGCCATTTTAAAGCTACAAGTTTCCCTTATATGTTTTTGTGTCTCTAACGACCTAACAGAGTTCTTGGCACCTAACAGACATTCATTAACTACTTGGTTAATGAACGATCAGATGTTGTCAGAGTATAGACTAAGCTGCCATAACAGAAAGACCTCAAAATGCGATGTCTCAAACAACATAAGTGCCTATTTTTCTCTCATGGAGCAGTCCATAGGTAAGAGGGTAGATTAGGGTGAAGCGGTGTCGTTAGTTCATTAGGTCATTAAGAGAACCAGGTTTCTTCTCTCTTGTTATTCTCCATCCATCCTACGGTCTTGTCAGTCAAAACTGGCTAATCATTACACTCTGCACTCTAGCCCATGGAAAAGGGGCCAATCAACCTACAAGAAAGTCTCGCAGTTGACAAGCTCCATACATACAATTATTATCTTGTAGTTTCTATGGGCCAGGAATCTGGGCCAACAAACATGTGAGCTTGGAAGCAGACCCTTCTCCAGTCAAGGTTCAGATGAGACTAGCTCTGGCCAACTCCTTAATTGCAGTCTGTGAGAGAGCCTGATCCACAAAACCCAGTTAAGCTGAGCACAGATTCCTGGCCCACAGAAGCTGTGAGGTAACAAGTGTATGTTATTTTAAGCTACTAGATTTGGGGTAATTTGTTATGCATCAAACACATAACTAATGCAACATCTTAACTTTCACTATTTAAATTATCAGTGACTGACACAATGGAAACTTAATTGTACATTAATGGCAAATGCAACTTAAAAGTAAAGACTAACATATATTTTGACAATCTTTTGGCTTTAATACCACTCAAGAAATATTAAACTTTATTAGGCTTTTGTCTTATACTTAATCCTAATTCCTATAATCTGGAATGATCGGCTCAACAAGTTTACCCACACTGCTGGTAATATGTTAGTCCTGCACCTAGTCAACCTATCTCTAGAATGCAGTTTTCTTCCAGATGTAAACATTACTAGTGCTGTGGGTACTCTGAGGGAAAATATAAGCCATATAAAATCACAATGGAAAATGCTTTGATTTTAGACTGAGAGAATAAAAAATTTGAAGGTTTTCCTTCCAAAGGAATTTTGTTACACAAAGAAAAAAAGGTAGCTGGTGATAGAAAAATCAGTATTAACACTTCTTGTTTTTTACATTTGCTTAAATGCTGATAAATATGTACTGCAGACTAATGAAGGAAAATGCCTCAAACGTTTGGAAGATACAGAAATCTGCACCAATACGAAGGCAGCTTTGGGCACTAAGCCCCATGCCCAGGCCTCTGTGCTGGCCAGAACTTAGCTCAGGCATTGATTTCACTAACAGCACTCACTGGGGTGCTGGATATAAAACAAGAAATAAGCCTGACAAGGTCACTGCCTCATGCAGCTCACAGTTTAGTAGGGAATATAAACAAATAAATAAGCAATGGAATCTAGTGTGGTGTTGCCATTTAGGGTACACATAGGCTGCTATGGCAACACACAGGAAAAAACAGTTAACTCATGGTGGAAATGGAAGTGATAGTTTTATCAGGAAGACAGCTCAGTTGAAGCGATATCAAAACTTGGACCTGAAGGATGGATGATCAGGAATTACAGGGAGGTGGGTGGTAAGGGAAAAGAATTCTGGGAGAGGGAATATCACCTATGAAGGCCCAGGAGCAAAAGAGAACCTGATACATTCCAGTGATTGGACTTTCAGTAGAGAGTAGAGGTATATGGCCGAAGATGATATGGGGAAGTATGCAAAAGCATTATTATGCAGGGCCTGGTAGGAACTGCATAATAAGAGTTCGAACTTTATTTAAAGGAAGCACAAAACTATAGAAGGGTTTTAAGAAGAAAAGTACAATAATCTCACTCCTCCATAACTTACATAATGTTCATGACAATTTATTTGGTTTCTGAAAAGTTAATTTCCCAAAACGTTAAAAAGCATATAGAAACATATAATTTTTTCTAATGTACTAGCAATAACCACATGGAAGACATAACAGAAACGAAATCCCACTTACAATATAACAAAAACTACAAAATACCCATGAATTATCTAAAGAAGAAATATACAAAACTACATATAACAAACCATAAAATTTTGATAAAGGATATAAAAGAATATCAGAATAAATTAATGTTCTGGGATGTGAAGACTCAATATGATTAAAATAAGTGTCTTCAAGTTAATCTGTAAATTTAATGCAATTCTGATAAAAATCCTAATACATTTTTCAGGAGCACTTGATAAAATGATTGTAAAGTTGATCTGGAAGATGTATAAGACTACTATTTTGAAAAGTAGAAAGGTGAGAGGGCTTTCCCTGGCACACATAAAAAAACATAATAGAAGTACAGTAATTGAAAATGTATGTAAAGTCAAAACATTCAAGGGTGTTGTGGGTTGAACTGCGTCCTTCCAAAAGGTATGTTCAATATTCCCTATGCTATAGTTTACATGTGCCAAATGGGTACTTGACTTATTGGGGTGATCACTTTGTAAGGTATGTAAACGTCTAATCATTATGTACACCTGAAACTAATATAATATTGTATGTCAATTATAATTGAAAAATAAATTTTAAACAACTGTTAAAAAGGTATGTTCAAGTTATAATCTCCAATACCTTGTGACTGTGATCTTATTTGAAAATAGGGTCATTGCAGATGTAATAATGCTAAGATGAGATCGTACTGGAGTAGGGCGGGCCCTAATCAAATGACTGGTGTCCTCATAAGAAGAAACTTTAGACACAGAGACATGCAGGGAGAATGCCATGTGACAATGGAGGTAGAGATTGGAGTAATGTGTCTACAAGGCAAGGAACGCCAAGGACTGCCCCACCAGAAGCTGGAAAAGTGAAGGAAAGATCCTCCCCCAGAGCCTTCAGGGAGAGCATGGCTCTGTCAACACCTTCATTTAGACTTCTAGTCTTCTGGACTGGGAGAGAATCAATTTCTGTTGTTTTAAGCCACCCAGTTGGTGGTACTTTGCTATGGCAGCCCTAGGAAACTAATACATATGGCAGTTTTATATGTGATAAAAGAAGGATCTCAAATGAGTGGGAATGAATGGGTCTTATTTATTCAATGAGTAGAGATTAGGACAACAGGCTATATTGATTTGGAAAGAAAAGTTAGATTTCCACTTAACAACAGGTACTAAAATTCCAAGTAGATCACAGAACTAAATGCAAAAAAACAAAACCATAAAAGTGGTAGATGAAAATGTAAGAGAATATTTTTATAACCTGGGTGCAGGGAAGGATTTTCTATCCAAAACATGAATCCCAAATCTGACCACAACTTCTGTACATATATAATAAAAGACAACATTGATTTCAACAATAATCAATGTTAAAAAAAATAAGGAGAAAATATTTGCAAGATACATTATAGACATGGAGTTAATATGCAGAATACATACAGAGATCGTACAGATGATAAGGAGACAAGTAATCCAAAAGAAAATTGGACAAAAACAAAAATACAAAAACTAATAATGCATGGATATTAAACTTCACTAATAATCAAATGAGATGTAAACTGAAATGCGAAATTACTCATTTAGAGTGGCTCAAATTAAAAATAATTTCTGATACTATCCAGTGTGGAATAGGGTATGGTCAAACAGGCACTCTTTAACACAGTGAAATTTTACAACCTTCTGTTTTGGAGGGCAATTTGGCAGTGTCTGCCGAGAGTTAAATGTTCATACCCTTTGTTTCAGCACAACCTTTTCTAAGATTATATTCTGCTGAAAAGTTCACAGAAATAAATAGGGGAAATTACATTAAATATAGGACACGCATAAAATAGAATACTAAGCAACTATTTAAAAGAGGTAGCTAGATCTACATGTACTGTCATAAAAGATGTTCAAGACATTAAGTGAAAATAACAAGTTGCAGAATATATGTACTTTGTAAATATCAATAATTGTCTTATGTACAGAACAAAAATAAAAGAATAACTGAACTGCTAACATGAGTTATCTTGCAGGGGGACATTTATTAATTCATTTACGTAATATTTAGTGAGTATCCATTATGTGTCATGCACTGCTCTAGGTGCTGGAGATTCAGGAGTGAACCAAAAGAAACCCAAAAAACAAAACAAAACAAAATATGAGGAAATGGTGAACATTCATTTTCTACATTGACTATTTCCATAAAGTATGACCTTTATATTTTTGTCTCTAATAAATCTATAGATTCTTTAAAAAAATAGCTTTAATGTACGAATGAAAAACTTTCAAAAATATGAAAGCAATTTGTTTTGTTATTCTCTTAAAATCATTCTTATCAAACAGTTTTTAAAAACATCACCGGCATATTCAAGAATGCATTTTTGTAAAACTGATGTGAAAACATCAACAAGTTCTAATATAATAAAATCATTACTTTGCTCAGTTTAAAAATAAAAATACTTGAATTTTATGGTATCTGACTTATCTATACCTCTTATGATATAGCATTTTACTTACAGTTTGTGGATTAATCTCCTCCTCTCCCATAGGTTCATCCATAATTTGCTGTCCATTCTGTGAAAAGCACAGCAAGTACAAAGTTACCAAAACAGATCTGACATTAAAGTTAAATGAAGGCAGACAAAAAAATCATATAGGAATATTTTCACCCCTAAAGGGTTCTAATGAAGTACGTAACCACCATATAAGTATGCATTTGCCAATTTGCAACAGGTTGTGCTTTAAAAGTTAATATGTAAATTGATTACTTTAAACTATAAAAACATTTTTTCCATGGAAATGATACAATCAATGATTACCTTTCCAGGTGAGCCCTTGAATTTATTTTAACAATTAAATGCATTACAAATGGTCTTATTTAAACCTCACCAAACATCGTTTACAATACTTTCTATGGGAAAACACATTCCAACTCCATTGATAATTAATCAGGGTAACTGATTAATTATTTCAGGGGGAAATTACGCTAGAGCTCTACATCAAAATAGAATCCAGATGGATTAAACATTTAAATGTCAAAAAATGAAATTATACATTGGAAGAAAATATACGTGAATAATACTTAGGGGGTAAGGAGGGTAGAAATCATAAAGGAAAAAATTGACATTTGAATTCATAAAATTTTAAAACTTCTTCTGCCAGACACAAAAAAGTTAAAAGAACAAACTGATCACACAAAAATAAAAGCAACATATGACAAAGGGTTGGTGTCCTCAATACATAAAGAGCTTTGTTTTACAAACCTGTAAGAAAAAACGATGAACCTCAACAGAAATGAGCAATAAGGGAAAAAAGAGTTCAGCCTTAGTACTAATCAAAGATATACATTTAACTGAAAGACACCTTCGCCTTTCAAATTGGTAATGATTTACAGAAAAAAATAAACACCCAGCGCTAATGTGGGTATGGGGGAAACAGCACTCAGGATATACTGCTGGAGAAAGTATAAATCAGCTCTATCTTTCAGGGAGGCAATCTAAGTGTATTAAAAAAGAAACAAACATAAGACTTTGAAACGTCCCACCATTTCGACTTTGTTTTTTTAAAACAATGGACAAGTGTGCAAAGATGTACATATAAGAATGCTCACCATAATTTTTTCCAAAAAGAACTCCAAATTGGACACCTAAATTCCTAACAATAGAGACCTAGTTAAATAGATTTGGTACATCCATATTATGGAATACTATGCAGTCATTAAAAATGATGATAAAGATGTAAATTTATTGACATGAAAAGACAGTCACATGTAATAAGTGAAAAAGCAGTTTACAAAACAGTAATGATTGTAATGATCCCATTTTAAGTAAATATATACATGTTTCAATGTATATATTTCTATGGAAAAAAACTCTGGAAGGATATACACCAAGATGTTAACAGTGGTTATCTCTGGGTGGTAGAATTTTAGACAATTTAAATTTTGTTTTGTTTTTGCTTATTTGAATTTTCTAATGTGTCTACAATGTCTACAATGAATACCTATTATTTGTGTAATTTAAAATAAAACAAAACAAACCCAGAAGTGAGGAACACAGTGTCTTCTCTAGTTCCCTCACTGGAAAAAGTAGTAAATGCCCCTGACCACTTGTTAATTCAACAAATACACAACATCTATGCTAACCATCTCTAGAGCATCATTAACTGGGAGGTAAAAGGTATCCCACCCATTACCCCATATCCCACATGAGGCAGCTGCTCTGAATTTGAACTCCTCTCTCTACTCTCCCCATCCCTATTTATCCATCCATTCAATCATTTATTTCATTTCATTCATGCTATGTTCTAGGCACCAAGCTGGGGATGAAAGGTTAATAAAACGGCCCCCATCCTAGAGATCCATTCTAGAGGATTTCACAGGTCCATTAACCCATAAGAAAGGGCACCTTTCATTGTCAAAGACTCACAGAGCATGTTCCTAGGTTAGGGAATGCCTATACAATATTACAAAGCACAGAAATAGTGCCAAAATGCAGAAAGTGGGGAGGCAGGCATAAAATCTGTTTTCCTAAGACACCTTTCAGAGGCTACAGTATCGCTCACTTCTATGGTAAGGACTCAAATACCTTCAGGACACATTTTTCTCCTAAAAGCCGCAATCATTTATTCAACTGAATACTGATCATTTTTACTCAGACATCCCAGACAAACCTTAAATTAGCTCTTAAGAACACTAGCTTTGGAGTCAGACACCTAGATCAAATTTCTGCTCTTACACTAATTATGAAGACTTGGACAAGCTATTTAAACTGTGTAAGCTTTAGTTTCTTCATATGGAAAGTAGAGATTAAAGTCTTATCTTCACAGAGTTAAGACTAAATGAGATAAATGATACAAAACCCTAAGCACAGTGCCTGGCTTACTAAACAATCAATGTTAGCTAGTTTAATTACTTCCAAAATTCAATTCAATCACCCCCTCTGTGGCCAATCAATCTACTACTTTTCCTGTATTTGCTCTTAGTGAATTGTACCATCATTCATCTAGTAGCCCAAACCAGATTTTCTCACTAATTTTACTCAGAGTTCTCTTTCTGTAACACAGATCTGCTCAATGGCTCCCCAAGTGGCTTTTAGAACCCTTGGTCTAACTTGAGCTACACTTATATTTTCCATGGAAATATAATTTGAGAACCATCTGCTTCTTGCAATTTGCAGTGCATGCAAAGCAAGAATCACAACTTATAACTTACTTTTAAGGCAAATTGGTACAGTAAAACAGCATTAAACTTGGACTTGGTGGACTAAGGGTAGAGTCCTAGGTCTGCCACTTATAAGCTATTTTTTGGCAATGCACTATTACTTTATCTGCTCAAGATGACGAAACTTGCCCTGTCTACCCAAAGGGTTACTGTTAGGCTTAAAACTGAGAGTTAACTCATAAGGAAGCACTTTATAAGCTGTGAAGAGCTGTACTAATGCAAATTACTATTATTAAGTTGAGGTAGATTCATGAGGATAAAATAACACTTCATAAAGTCCTTCTGATCTTAGAATAAAAAAAAAAGTTTAGGATTGGTAAGGGATCTTGAAAGTCTTCTGTTCTAAATACATATCATATGCTTCAGTTCTTTCTATCCCATTCTCACCTATACTTGAACACTCTCAGTACAAGAATGTACTACTTCACCAGGCAGCCTACTTCCTCATCTCAGAAAAAGGACTGGCTGATAAATAAAATTCTTCATTACACAGTAATTTTCCTCAGCCACAAATTCCCTGAAAGAGGATTACTAATACATGACTATGATGACTAACTTGCCTGTACTGTATCTGCAAAGTCATAGGAGGTAAATCTGTATAGCTTTGACTATAAACCACCCCAAGTCTGTTCTTTTCTAGATGGCTCAAGTTCCTTCAAACATTCCTTTTAGACAGATGAGACCATCTTCTTTTCTTTTCTCAGCATGCATCTAATTCATCTTAAAGGGTGGTACACAGAAGTGCATGCAATTAACATTCCAACCTTGATATGACCAATGTATTATAGAATAAAGGGCACATCACCTCCTTTGTCTTGGATAATAACTTATATTAATGCAGTTCACAGATGCATTATTCTTGAAATGTCCACAACACATTGCTGAATCATACTAAGTTTTCTATTGATTAAATCCTTGTCTTCTTTATTTACACTGCAACAAAGCCCCGTGTCCTCTATTCTGTACTTGTTGTTACTCGTAGTCTCATGAATAAAGCCTTATTTTAATTTTTGTTTCATCTTTTTCCAGTTCTGATCCATTGCTACAGCCTCTATAGATTGGATTCCAAATCTGCCAATCAGCCTCTTTACTATTTTCAACTTCATGTGATCTGTAAATTTTACAATATATTTGCTTTTCTGAACTCCTCATCCAACTAACAGTAATATAGTAACAAAGCAATCTAAGAAAAACTTAAGTTAAACATGATCTAAAGATATTTAATGGTCTACTTTTTGCCAAATACGTACTTTCTGAGTTTAGCAAACATTTTAAATTTTGAACAATTTAATTTTCGAAGCAGGAAAATATGAAAGCCAATGTTATCCTACATACCAGTGAAGCTTTAAAAAAATCTACCCAAAACCACCTTTTACTTCAGCAAGCCTTTTGTATTGTTTCATCAAAACAAGGATTCAAATGTTATCTGTTAGAAATAAGCACAGTTACTTCTGCAGCTAAGGTTTCCCTTTTGAAAAATGACCCTTTGCTTCATTAGAGATTAGGTTACATGGACCATCAGTCTGCTTCATTATTTCAATTTCTATAGTTTCAAAAGTTCAAGGAATAGTACCTATTAAACAAGAAAACTTATTTCTCTAATTTTAAGAAACAAAGAAAACGTGGTCTGAATCTGGCTAGTATCAGCTTTAAACCTCAGCTCTGTCACTACCTGATCCTGGGTAAGTTATTTATATTTTGAGCCTCAGTTTCTTCATTTGTAAGGTACATATAATATCTACATCACAGGTAGAATTACAATGTTGTAACTAAAACGATCCACCAAGGGACAGTAGATGCTCAGTAAATGCTACTTCCTGTCCCCCCTTTGGCCTAATTGACTGTGTAACATTTACATCTCTATAGCTGACTTCTAAATGTAATGCAATGAAGAAATACAGGAGAGTGTTGAGATACCTGTTTCACCACCTACTACAGCCAATTTCCTGCCAAGCAGGGTGGAAGAGATCATTCAAATGTGTGGTATATTTTTATACAATGTGCCTAAAGAATGAGTACAGGCAAAAAAGAATAGCTTAAAAGTGAGGCAAATGTATTTATCCTGTCTCATCCCACCATAATGCCTTCCAGCCAAAAAACTGCCGAGCTTGGCAGATTGTACATATGGAAATATTACATGAAATATTGGAAAAGGTTAGAAAATGCTAATCATGGTTTACTCTGTTAGTCTGAAATGTGTAAAAGTAAAAAACTAGCTACCGTACAATGTGGGTCTCATCAGAACAAATCAGATAAAGGAGACTGCTAGCTCGCATTTTAGCAGGAACTACTTTCAAAATAAGTTCTAATGTTGTGGTATAAAATTATCGCTTAAGATCATCTTCCTGGTTTA